GACTAATCGTTGCAGCCCTACTTTAAATCAGTGGTCTCAAACTCGCGGCCCGCGGGCCTCGGTGATATTTTGTGGCCCCCTACTTGACATTAAAGTTTAATGTTACTGCGGCCCGTCGTTGCGTGTGCCGCGTTTTTTATTTTTTATTTTTTTTATCCCTTATGGGCTACCATAGATAGTCTCGTGACTATAATAAATATTGAGAAGATTGGATCAGTTGTGCTCCTTTTTTGGAATACTTGAATACTATTTTTTTGTGGAATACTTGATGCGGCCCAGCCTGACCCAGACTCTACCTCCAGCGGCCCCCAGTTAAGTTGAGTTTGAGACCCCTGCTTTAAATAATATAAAAATATTGCGCCATTGACTTCAGACCAGGGTTCAGTTGGTCAACGGCAGTCTATTTGAGTTCCTCAGAATAGCAACGCTCCAACAATGCGCCTGAACACACACCTGGTTTTCAGACCAGCAGCCCATGGGCGCACAAATTGGCGCAAATAAATGTGCTATTTAAACAACGTGGCGTAAGACGTGAAAATGATAACTGCGTCGGGCTAAAACTAGCAGAAAATTGCACCGGGTGTATAATATGGCCCAGTCAATTGAGAAATAAAACACTTAATATGTGTAACATGCTGCTTGGCTAAAGCATGGTTTTCCAACGTTGGTAAGTGTATCCATAGCAGACTTGGTGGGAATGGCCTTAGCCAAGTTTCAATGAAAGCCCATTTTGCCAGTGGTGAAGTCCCCCTTTAAGACATAAACAGCTGTGTTTATGAGGATACTCGCCAGGATGAGATGTATTTTGTGTATGTCTAAGCACAAGATATTTTATGGACATCAACAACCCAAAGCTTTACACTGCATGTTTTGATCATGAATCTGGCTAGCAGATGCATTAGCCTAGTTTATGTGAGAAAAGTTGGATTAAAACAGCACATGGTTCAATATGATATATCACTGACGAATCAGGTTTGTAGTTGTCGTCCTCAGTTTGTGTGGCAGCCAGACAAAGGTATTATAAATGGGGTCACTCTCTCTTATGTCCTGTTGAGATGCCTGAGGCGTCGGACAGCATTGCTCTACTTTTCTTGCATGGCTTCAGTCAGTAATGAGTATTAGCATTTCCAATTAGCAGCTTATTAGTAGGCCAGCAAGAAACAACTCTATTCCTGTGTTTTATGATAAAACTGTTGTTTTGAGCATGCTTTTAGGTTTCCTGTTGGAATTGTTGGAGTGTTCTTATTGTTATTTAAATATCAAACAAATAATTTTTCTTCATTATCAATAATGATCAATACTAGTATCACTCAGCAGCATTGATAAATGAACTTCCACTCTGGTTCTTTAACTTGTTCTCTTTTCTCTGGTTCTTTAACTCTTTATAAGACAACACTTTCCCGCCATCCATGTTTTTCCATGTTTTCACTGTTATATGGTAAGGGACGCTATTACACATCCTCTGAAAGTGTACAGAATCTCCTGATCAAAACACAGGAGAAGCAGAAACAAGTGATAGAAGCATTGCTTATGCACATGTAGGCTAACGCAATCATCAAACAGCTGCATAATGTTACCGAATGAAATGTCGAACTTGCAAAGAGGTAACGACTATGAAGCTCGGTGGAAGCTTGATGGATCCTTCACTGGAAACTGAAAGTAACTCACTCCTGCTAAACGTTTACTCTTTGAATCCTTGCACTTGAAAAGTCGACACCATTATGACTAAAAGTTTGCTTAGCAGGACTTCCTACTAAAGCAAGGTGGTGTTTGACTCCAGTAAGTCTATCCATAGTAGACTGGTGGGAATGGCCTTGGACGGCAACATGGCCAGGGCATTATGGGTGTTGAAGCTTTCCTACCTATTTGGAAAAGGGAAGACAACAACCTTCTCTAGTCAGGTTTTTTCTCTCTCTTTTATACAACATAGGAAGCCAGGTTTTATTGAAAGCCATTTTGCCAGCGGTGAAGTCCCTTTATGTCATATTGAACGCCTCTAGCAGGTGCAAGCCAAGAATATTGTCCTCCACTTCCAAAATGATACAGCAGTGACAGTGGGAATTCACCCTCAAATATGTCCAGCAGGGTTTTATCGGCAATGCCTGGGATGCATTTTTGGGTTCTGCTGGGTCAATACTTCTCTGAGGATCATTTAACTTGACTTTGTTCAGTAGGGATTTGGGAATGAGGCAGTCGATGGCAGCTCAGCCTTCCTGAGACATCAGACTCATTCCATCAAGACTTCAAAGACATTTTCAAATGGGCATGTGAAACATTCATGTGTCTGTTTTTGTAATGAGAGCTGAACGTGTGTGCTGCGGCATGTTGGGTAACATGAGGATTAGATTGGACACATTGTCGGAGACGGATGCCGCTCTGTGTTTGTCTATGCGCTGATGGGACTCGGGCTAATGTAATAAAGCCAGATGCCAGCTGTGTTTGTAAGGCTACAAGGCATGCTGGGAAATGCTCTCAAGGTGCAGTAATGGAAGGTTATTACCTCTGTTGTTTTCTTTTTAGCTGGTTGACTGGTGTGCGGTTTGATTCATATTCAAACAATTTAGGCAGTTCTCTGTCTATTTAAAGATTAGATAAGATAAGAAGTAGTGATCGATCGATATATTGGCAAGACTGATATAGCGGGCAATTTTTTTAAACTTGTTAACTTATATCGCAACATCTTTTTTATTTTGATATATTGCGCAGCCCTACTTGATTACAGAATCAAGAAGTTGTCATCTAAAGTATGAATCTGTTTATTTTACAGAATTGCTTTAAAGGGATACTCCACTTTTTTTGGAAATAGGCTCATTTTACAACTCCCCCAGAGTTAAACTGTTCAGTTTTACCGTTTTTGAATCCATTCAGCCGATCTCCGGTTCTGGCGGTACCACTTTTAGCATAGCTTAGCATACATCATTGGAGTGGACAAGACCATTAGCATTTCTAAAAAGAAAATGACCAAAGAGTTTCGATATTTTTCCTATTTAAAACTTGACTCTTCTGTAGTTACATCGTGGACTAAGACCGACGGAAAATGTAAAGTTGCGATTTTCTAGGCTGATATGGCTTGGAACTATACTCTCATTCCTGCGTAATAATCAAGAAACTTCACTGCCGTACCATGAGAGCAGCAGGCGTAATGATATGACGCAGCGCCTGAAAATAGGCTACCTTCCGTCAACACAACGGAACTATTTTCAGGCGCTGCGTCATATCATTACGCCTGCTGCTCTCATGGTACGGCAGTGAAGTTTCTTGATTATTACGCAGGAATGAGAGTATAGTTCCAAGCCATATCAGCCTAGAAAATCGCAACTTTACATTTTCCGTCGGTCTTAGTGCACGATGTAACTACAGAAGAGTCAAGTTTTAAATAGGAAAAATATCGAAACTCTTTGGTCATTTTTTTTTTAGAAATGCTAATGGTCTTGTCCACTTCAATGATGTATGCTAAAAGTGGTACCGCCAGAACCGGAGATCGGCTGAATGGATTCAAAAACGGTAAAACTCAACAGTTTAACTCTGGGGGAGTTGTAAAATGAGCCTATTTCCCAAAAAAGTGGAGTATCCCTTTAAGTTTAAAGTGTAAATTGCAGGTTACATTTTTCACGAAGATAATGGAATGTGCTTACTAAACATAAAGATAAGAACCGCCCACCATTGTTTTTTATGTTTTTTTATACCAAAATGCTGAATATAATATGAAAAGTTGGTACTTTTTACACTCCCCCTCCCTTCCAATAGGCTGGGCTTGACGTCATAAAAGGGACTCTAAGCCTAGAGTTACCGTTAGTCTAACGGCAAGTAGGCTAGCAATTATATAGAAACGTTTTTTAGATTCAGAAGTGATGAATGAAATAACTCAACTCAATTGTAAACATACTCGTGTGTGCTGGCTTCAAGAGGACCGTGATCCTGCCTGAAATGAGATTAAGCTATTCGCAAAACAAACGGGTTCAGGCAGCATGCGTCAAAACCAGGATATGCTGCGTGAGGCACGTCAGATTTGCCGGTCGCGGGTCGAAAACGCGTTCACCTCACGGCAGCACATACTCTCCACTGTTGATTCCATTGGGTGGCATAGCACACAAACACCTGTCAAACACAGCGATAGGGACATCGATCTCTTTTTTTCTTTCTGACAATATCGCGTTCTGTCAGCAGATGCCAGCAAAAGCGCCATTGTGCCTGTGCAGTGTGTGCATCTCTACAGCTCTGATTAGGACTACTAACACCATGTAAGTAAATAATGTCTTCAGTCGTTGTCCCTCCTTGCTATTCTACATGACGGCAAGATTTTGGAAAGACTTTGGCTTCTTCCCTAATGATATCCGGATTAGCACCAGGCTAACTCTAGCTACTCACAAGGACACCTGGCCAACCTTCCACTCATTTTTCTCACACCAAGCATTGATAAATTCTAGGGCTGTGGTCCATCAAGAATTTGATGGTTTCCCACCTCCTCAGTCTCCCAGTCGTTCTCCAAAGTCAAGCCACAAACAGTAGGAATCTAGCAGAGGATGGGTTGCTACTCCCTCTTATGACGTCATCACCCAGTTACTGTAAAAAACATGCTACATTTGAAACCCCAATAAATGTTATTTTAACACATTGGTTGTGGTGGTTAACCTGCAATTTACACTTTAATCTAAAAAAAAGATTCATATAATTTAGTTTTTAAATGACTTATTTCTAATTTTGTAAATATAATGTAAAATAAATATGAATTTAATTTCAACGATTGTTATGGATGTGTTATTGCTACATTTAAATTAAATAGTGTGATATCATATCATATTGGCTTTATATATTGGCCGTCAAAAAAAATCAATATCAGTCGACTGCTATACAGAAGGTTTTCATGCTAGCACATTTAATCTTGCACAGGAACCAATGAGGTTTGTCCTCGCACATCAAGCTAGTTCCGTTCACCGTGTTTGATTCTACCAGTATGTTTGGCACAGTGTTTATTTTGTTCTTCCTATGTCTCTCCCCAGAAGGCCGCGTGGGGGACTGCTCCGAGCGCTCCTGAGGCGGGATCTGTCGGCAGGTGTGTCAGCGGGCTGGCTCCTCCCCCTCCCGGCGGCAGCCTGCGCTCTCAGCCGCCCCCTTGCACCCCCCGCTCGCCAGGCCTGCGCGCCCGAGCCCATGCCCCCAGCTCAAACGCCATGTGTGTCCCGCACACGATGGAGGCGGGCAAGCACAGTGCTAGCCAGGGGCCGAGCAGCCGCGACGGGGTTCCCCTGGAGCCCTTCATACACCAGGTGGGCGGCCACACCAGCATGATGCGTTATGATGACCACACCGTCTGCAAGCCACTCATCGCCCGTGAGCAACGGTTTTACGAGTCCCTGCCACCGGAGATGAAGGAGTTCACCCCGGAGTACAAAGGTAAGATGGAGGATTTGTGCGCAATGCACTCTTCTTAGATTGAGTGTTTTTTTATTGTTGGTTCTAGTGAGCTGAAACTGTGACACAGTAACTGTTTTTAATAGCACACTGAAGCACAATGCTAAATTCCTCTGTGAAAAGTTGATTCTTCAAATTCATGCACTTCAAAGCACCTCTGCTTAAAGGAAAGTTGTCTTTTTTTTTTTTTTTTAAATTAACAAAATTTAAATAATGAGTCAAAATTGGGCCGAAATATTAAAGCTGATAAATACTGGATTATTTCCTTCAGCTGAGACCCTTCAGATGTGCACTGTTCGCCATGAAGGTTTTGAACTGCTTGAAATATGATTAGAATCACTTTGAAAAGGAATACGGTTCAGTGCAAATTGTGCAGTGCAAGTCTGTCATATCGGCTACATAAAATTATAATGAGAACATCATTATAATTGTGTGCTTGGGAGATGGATTTTAATGGTGAGAACTTTTGTTTTTGTAATCAGGCTCTCAAAAATGATTTTTTAAAAATCTGGATCTAGATTTATTGGCCAATATATCGGTTATCGGCTTTCAAATATAAATAATTTTCAGTTATCGTATTTCATATCGGTGCATCCCTAATCGCTTTATATTTATTTGTGAATCTCAATCTATTTATTTGGAATAATGCAACAATTCTAACCCCATACCAGCCATTATGTTAAGACAGTGTCTTAAGATCTATTATGAGCCACTAGAACATTTCGGCTTTGTGGATGCTAGAGCTGGGTTGACAATATGGATTTTAACCCCCTGGGGTAGGTGGTCGCGCCGGCGATACCAGCGCGCTTTTTTTCTTATCAGTGCAAAAGAGACTCAAAATACTCTGTGGATTTTGATCTTACATATAAGTGTTGTACATCCTTCGATCCTGTTAAGTGTCTATTTTTTTGTTTATACTAACAATAAAAACAAAGTGTTACTCAGTCACACAGGCACGAGAGAGATATATTTATGTAGCTTGAATTCTCTTCTTTTAAATGAAGTAATTTATATAAAAAACAAATATTCTCTGTTTATGTAATCTGAATGAAAAGAGAGAGATGTCAGTCGTTCTCAGTTCAGCTCATTATCTGCTAATGTGAACATGCCCACGAAGACGTGCGCTATTCAAACGCAAATGATCTGAGGCAAATGATCTAATAATTATAACAACTGAACTCACACCTGTAAGTGTTCAGGACTCGCTACCGTATTCTGTAACTGAACTCACACCTGTAAATGTTCAGGACTCGCTACCGTATTCTGTAACTGAACTCACACCTGTAAGTGTTCAGGACTCGCTACCGTATTCTGTAACTGAACTCACACCTGTAAGTGTTCAGGACTCACACTACCGTATTCTGTAACTGAACTCACACCTGTAAATGTTCAGGACTCGCTACCGTATTCTGTAACTGAACTCACACCTGTAAGTGTTCAGGACTCGCTACCGTATACTGTAACTGAACTCACACCTGTAAGTGTTCAGGACTCGCTACCGTATTCTGTAACTGAACTCACACCTGTAAATGTTCAGGACTCGCTACCGTATTCTGTAACTGAACTCACACCTGTAAGTGTTCAGGACTCGCTACCGTATTCTGTAACTGAACTCACACCTGTAAGTGTTCAGGACTCGCTACCGTATTCTGTAACTGAACTCACACCTATAAGTGTTCAGGACTCGCTACCGTATACTGTAACTGAAATCACACCTGTAAGTGTTCAGGACTCGCTACCGTATACTGTAACTGAACTCACACCTGTAAATGTTCAGGACTCGCTACCGTATTCTGTAACTGAACTCACACCTATAAGTGTTCAGGACTCGCTACCGTATTCTGTAACTGAACTCACACCTGTAAGTGTTCAGGACTCGCTACCGTATTCTGTAACTGAACTCACACCTATAAGTGTTCAGAACTCGCTACCGTATTCTGTAACTGAACTCACACCTGTAAATGTTCAGGACTCGCTACCGTATTCTGTAACTGAACTCACACCTATAAGTGTTCAGGACTCGCTACCGTATACTGTAACTGAACTCACACCAAAAGTGTTCAGGACTCACTACCACATTCTGTAACTGAACTCACACCTGTAAATGTTCAGGACTCGCTACCGTATTCTGTAACTGAACTCACACCTATAAGTGTTCAGGACTCGCTACCGTATTCTGTAACTGAACTCACACCTGTGAGTGTTCAGGACTCGCTACCGTATACTGTAACTGAACTCACACCTGTAAATGTTCAGGACTCGCTACTGTATTCTGTAACTGAACTCACACCTGTAAGTGTTCAGGACTTGCTACCGTATACTGTAACTGAACTCACACCTGTAAGTGTTCAGGACTCACTACCGTATTCTGTAACTGAACTCACACCTGTAAATATTCATGACGCGGTACCGTATTCTGTAACTGAACTCACACCTGTAAGTGTTCAGGACTCGCTACCGTATTCTGTAACTGAACTCACACCTGTAAATGTTCAGGACGCGGTACCGTATTCTGTAACTGAACTCACACCTGTAAATGTTCAGGACTCGCTACCGTATTCTGTAACTGAACTCACACCTGTAAGTGTTCAGGACTCACACAACCGTATTCTGTAACTGAACTCACACCTGTAAGTGTTCAGGACTCACACTACCGTATTCTGTAACTGAACTCACACCTGTAAATGTTCATGACGCGGTACCGTATTCTGTAACTGAACTCACACCTGTAAGTGTTCAGGACTCGCTACCGTATTCTGTAACTGAACTCACACCTGTAAATGTTCAGGACTCGCTACCGTATTCTGTAACTGAACTCACACCTGTAAGTGTTCAGGACTCGCTACCGTATTCTGTAACTGAACTCACACTTGTAAATGTTCAGGACGCGGTACCGTATTCTGTAACTGAACTCACACCTGTAAATTCAGGACTCGCTACCGTATTCTGTAACTGAACTCACACCTGTAAGTGTTCAGGACTCACACAACCGTATTCTGTAACTGAACTCACACCTGTAAGTGTTCAGGACTCGCTACCGTATTCTGTAACTGAACTCACACCTGTAAGTGTTCAGGATTCACAACCGCATTCTGTAACTGAACTCACACCTGTAAGTGTTCAGGACTCACACAACCGTATTCTGTAACTGAACTCACACCTGTAAGTGTTCAGGACTCACAACCGTATTCTGTAACTGAACTCACACCTGTAAGTGTTCAGGACTCACAACCGCATTCTGTAACTGAACTCACACCTGTAAGTGTTCAGGACTCACAACCGCATTCTGTATCTGAACTCACACCTGTAAGTGTTCAGGACTCACAACCGTATTCTGTAACTGAACTCACACCTGTAAGTGTTCAGGACTCACAACCGCATTCTGTAACTGAACTCACACCTTTAAGTGTTCAGGACTCGCTACCGTATTCTGTAACTGAACTCACACCTGTAAGTGTTCAGGACTCGCTACCGTATTCTGTAACTGAACTCACACCTGTAAGTGTTCAGGACTCACAACCGTATTCTGTAACTGAACTCACACCTGTAAGTGTTCAGGACTCGCTACCGTATTCTGTAACTGAACTCACACCTGTAAATGTTCAGGACTCGCTACCGTATTCTGTAACTGAACTCACACCTGTAAGTGTTCAGGACTCGCTACCGTATTCTGTAACTGAACTCACACTTGTAAATGTTCAGGACGCGGTACCGTATTCTGTAACTGAACTCACACCTGTAAATTCAGGACTCGCTACCGTATTCTGTAACTGAACTCACACCTGTAAGTGTTCAGGACTCACACAACCGTATTCTGTAACTGAACTCACACCTGTAAGTGTTCAGGACTCGCTACCGTATTCTGTAACTGAACTCACACCTGTAAGTGTTCAGGATTCACAACCGCATTCTGTAACTGAACTCACACCTGTAAGTGTTCAGGACTCGCTACCGTATTCTGTAACTGAACTCACACCTGTAAATGTTCAGGACTCGCTACCGTACTCTGTAACTGAACTCACACCTGTAAGTGTTCAGGACTCGCTACCGTATTCTGTAACTGAACTCACACCTGTAAGTGTTCAGGACTCGCTACCGTATTCTGTAACTGAACTCACACCTGTAAGTGTTCAGGATTCACAACCGCATTCTGTAACTGAACTCACACCTGTAAGTGTTCAGGACTCGCTACCGTATTCTGTAACTGAACTCACACCTGTAAATGTTCAGGACTCGCTACCGTACTCTGTAACTGAACTCACACCTGTAAATGTTCAGGACTCGCTACCATATTCTGTAACTGAACTCACACCTGTAAGTGTTCAGGACTCGCTACCGTATTCTGTAACTGAACTCACACCTGTAAGTGTTCAGGACTCATACAACCGTATTCTCGGAAACCTGCACTGTGTGAACGGTGAAAACCGTGCCTATTGCGAGTACAGCCTAACATTGGTTTTGCTGTTTCACAGAGCCAAGATATCCTGTTGTTGTGATGTTAGCTCTAGTAACAGGACAGTTTTGACTGCCATCGTTTGTCTGGAGGTGCTGTGCTGCTGCTGACTAACAACCAACTCTTGCTTCTTTATACTCCTGTGTACCCTTGTGGAAAAATAGTATACTTAAGCACAATTTATTCGTATATACTTCAGTCAAAGCGCCTTTAAAACACCTCTCCTATCTTTTTGAATGGGGAAACATCAAATTCTCAAAAACTGTTCACCATGCTTACGATTAAATTTCATATTTGAAATCACCAATGAAATCTGACAACACCTGTCTCATAAATTATTTTTCTAAATGCTCGAATCATGACAGAAAACGACATTTTTCAGGCTGGATCAAGCTAATGCGGGGTGAAAGTGCGCGTCTGACTGTTTCTATAGGAGCCAGAGCTTCTAACGGCAGCTGCAGTGACGCAATGACTTTACCAATTGGTTCTTATTTAGATGTCAGGACTTATTATTGAGCGTTGCATTTTC